AATTGCGCACAGCACTGTCCCACAAACAGAAACTTGCCCAACGTTTCGCCCTGCCTGGGAATCGAACCCAGGTCCTGTTGCTTGCCAGGCGAGTACTCTAACCCCGAAGCTTCAGGACTCCAATTGATTTCTCTGTGAGTAATGCCTCTCAGTCCACGTCACTTATCTCAGCCCTCATACTCCTGAAATTCGCCCATCTAAAGTTGCATGCTGCATATAAGAAATTGAGTGAGAAATATGCTTCAGGTTGCTGTTACTAGCCATATTGTAGTGAAATATAAAGAGCTGTGAAATTATCAGATGTCAACAGCACTCTCAATATTTTCGAATTACAACATAAAACTGTTTTTTGGACGAAAATGAAAACAGTTACCTGTAATGATTGTTAAGTGCTACGATGGAACAGGATGGCCAACGTTTTGGTGGGGGGAGGCTTCGACCAATAGTATATAATGGTGGATGATGTCTGAGCCATATGATAGCAACATCACATGGAGCACAATTTTTGAGATGAAGATGATAAGTGCAGGAATTTACATTTTAGGATGATGAGGAGGTTCTTCATGGAGAATCTTCTGGTGGCAGTAATTACCCCAAGGGTTGAGTGTACTCGAATAGAAAACTCTTCCTGGACTTGACAACAGTGAGGCAGAAAGCTAAGGAGCTATTGTCATGGTTACAATGCTGCAGAGTCAGTCCACAAGCCACTCAGCATTCCCACAGGCAGATATACTGATCTTTGTGCCAATTTTCTAGCAGCATCTACTAGGCACTCACAGGACCGTTACTGAAGCCAGTCAGTTCATCCAAGGAAATAAGTTGTTCCATCAAGGGTATAAGTGATTGTCTCTATAGAAAAGCATGCACGCGTCCATCAGAGCAGAAATCAGCAACTTCACTCAACAAGTAATTGGGAAATCACACTAATGTTCAGTAGCCAGAAGAAACCCAAAACTCATGGATATTGAGGACACATCCCTAACTTTTTTGAAAGAAAATAAAAAAATAAAAATGTTTTCTGTCTCATGACACTCTAGCACAATCCCATATTCTAGCTCAATGGTAGCCTACCTGCGGTCTGTGGGCTGGGATTCACTCCCATCACTGTGGACCCATCAAGCAGCGGCCTCGCTGAACATTCGCACGAGTCTAGGTAAGTTCGTGTTTAATGTTAATCTGTTCTCATTTTTTAAAAAAATTTTAACGAAAAAAGAAAACATTCATTTTGTTGGATGACCGTAAAGGTTGCCACCACTGCTCCATCTACTCGGGCAAACCCAGAGTGTTCACTGAAGATCTATTTAGTGTTTTTAATGTTCCTGCTATTTATATTGGTCATAGTTCTACTCTTGAAACCAGCTACAACAACAACTTGCACTTATATAGTGCTCTCCACCCAGGGTAGCGTCTCAGAGTGCTTAACAGTGCCCGAGCCTGACCCCGAATCGTGGGGGGTAGGGGGAAGAGGGGAACGGGGGGGCTGTGCTGCGGTCAAAGAAGAAGGTCTTCAGACAAGACTTGAAAAAGGGGATAGGGAGGCAAGGCGGAAGGATTGAGAGAGAGTGTTGCAGAGTTTCGGGGCATAGTGGCTGAAAGCGCGACTTCCAATGGTAGAGCGGAGGGTGCGAGGGACAAGCAAGAAATCGGTGCCAACTGAGCGGAGGCATGAGGTGGTGGATTGGGGGGTGAGAAGGTTGGAGAAGTTGGGAGGTGCTAGAGAGTGAAGGAATTTGAACACGAGTGTGAGGATCTTGATATCGATCCGTTTGGTGATGGGGAGCCAGTGGAGCCTGGCCACAACTAATCAGATGGAGTTAGGAGTTTGATTAGGGTAAGTATGTGGGTGGCAGAGTTCTGAATGAGCTGGATCTTTTGAATAGTGGACCTGGGGAGACTGGCGAGGAGTGCATTTGAGTAATCCAAGTGACAAACAAATGCACGAGGGTTTCGGCTGCATTTGGGGTAAGGTACAGTAGGAGGCGAGCAATGTGTCGGAGGTGGAAGAAAGAACAGCTGTGTTAACAGCTCCTCACAGCTAGAAATTGGCCATATAGCCTACGTTTTCTTAGTGAAACCTCATAAGACTTTAGTTCTGAGGAGATCAGAGCAAAGGTTTCATGAGTCAAAGATGAACCCAGGTCCAGTAACTTTATTGCTTACGAGAGGAATTTTCAACCCCAATACTGCAAAGGAAGGTGGCTAGGATTGTTGCTGCATGTTGCATATGTTACACAAAGCCTCACCATGGAAGTGGAGCAGAATGAAACCATCGTGGAACAGGAAGCAGATGCACATCAGCCAGCCCCAGAATAGCCTATTCTTGGCGGATAGTCAGCATCACTTGTCTCTGTCCTGACTGGCCTAATGGACTGCACTGTCTCTTTTAATTTACTTTATGTGATACAGTAGAGCTTCACATCTTTGTCTTTGTTTTTGTCAGTCTTTGTTTATATTGTGCCTGGCTTCCATTAGTTTACAAAAAGCAAAATACTGCAGATGCTGGAAATCTGAAACAAAAACAGAAGCTGCTGGGAACACTCAGCAGGTCAGGCAGCATCTATGAAGAAAGAAAAGTGAGTCAACGTTTCAGGTCCACGACTCTTCGTTGACTCACTTTCCTTTCTCCATGAATGCTGCCTGACCTGCTGAGTGTTTCCAGTGATTTCTGTTTTTGTTTCTATTAATTTACATATAGCTTGACTTGTTTCTGAATACTTACACCTTGGCTGAGAATATTGGTTACCATCCATCGTTTAGCTTTAAAGGCTTTCACCATCTTTCTGACTTTTCCCGCTGGCTTCTATCTTGTACTTTTCTGACTTTTCTTTTAGTTCTTTCTAGGCTCTGTGTTGCTCTGACTTTTCAACGTTTCTGAGCAAGTGCCTGAGGTTCACTGAATTAGTTGCTCTCCCATTCCCTCTTTGTAAATAGAATCTTCCCACATTTCTTGTGCATCAATGTGGATAAATGTGAGGTAATGGATTTTGTTAGAAAGAATGAGGGGAGGCAATATAGACTAGGCAAAACAATCTTAAGGGGGGGTGAAAGAACAGAGAGACCTGGGCGTTCAGGTAAATGAATCCTTGAAGGTGGCAGCACAGGTAGATAAAGCTGTAAAAGGAGCATGTGGGATACTAGGCTTTATAAATATGGGCATGGAGTACAAGAGTCAGGAGGTTATGATTAACCTATATAAAACATTGGTTAGGCCTCAGCTAGAATACTGCGCCCAGTTCTGGGCACCACACTATAGGAAGGATGTTAAGGCATTGGAAAGAGTGCAGAGGAGATTTACGAGGATGGTACCAGGAATGAGGGACCATGATTATGAGGAAAAGCTAGAGAGGTTTGGATTATTCTCATTGGAGCAGAGAAGGTTACGAGGAGACGTAATAGAGGTCTTCAAAATCATGAGGGGATTTGATAGGTTAGAAAAGGAATAACTGTTTCCACTGGTGGGTGTGTCGATGACTCGAGATCACAGATTTAAGATAGTCTAAAAGAAGCAGAGGGGAGGTGAGAAGAAATGTTTTCACGCAGCGAGTTGTTCGAATCTGGAATGCATTGCCTGAAAGGGTGGTCGAGGCCGATTCGATGACAACTTTTAAAAACGCGGTGGACGGGTCTGTAGGGTTATGGGGAAAGGCTGGGGAGTGGGATTGACGTTACATTGCTCTTTTCAAAGAGCCGGCACAGAGTCGATGGGCCGAATGGCCTCTTTTTGTGCTATATGATTCTATGATTCTATGATCAGCACATCTTTCTGCTGTATTTAGTCACTTGTTTCACTTTGGCCTTTAGTCGTCACACGGTCAAAGGATTCTAGCAAGAACCCTTTCAATTTACGAGCACCCTGATTTATAAATGGATGGCACATCAGTTCATATCAGAGAACCAAACTCTCAGTTCATCTGATCAGTTCCCAAGCACTTAAAGTCCCTTTATTTTAGGCAGCCTGGAAAGCTTTGCAATCTAGTTCATTCAAGAGCTCTGAGACACTATCCAGTATGAGGGGCACAATATAAAAGCAAGTTGTTGTTGCCATTGACCAAAATTAGTCCTGTAATCCTTTAATTAGATTTTGAATAGGACCTTTCACATCAATTGTACAGAACAATGTTTGCAGTTCTCTCCAAGGCAATGCCTATTGTCTTCTTGGCTATTGATCATTCAATGACAATTTTCACTCAGTGTTTTATCAGCCAAATTGATGAGATACTCGGTTCCATCTCCAGGCCATGTGATGAAAGTCAAAACTAATTATTCCAACCTTGTTCAGATTACTTGTGTTGTCAGATTTCCAATACTATACCTCAAATAGATCTACTTTCAAAATGGTGCTGATGCAGCAGAGACAGGTTCAGAGAATAGCACCTAAGATGATTATATGTCTTAGGACTCCAAGTTTTGAGTAGATCGTTGCAGAGTTGAACTCGTCTTTATTTGAATTGAGATTACTTTCAGGACTTGAAATGGTGTGCGCCAAGAGTGCGTACAGCAAGCAACCTGATCTACCACTGATCGGTACTGACTGCATTGTGGATATAGGAAAAGTGTGAATGATGGGTCATTACATCAAAACAAATAGGCAGCAGCTGGCTAACTGAAATACTTTTCCATTAAGAATTATTTGTCACTATAATACCAGACTCTGCCAGCCCTCTCTCTCTCTCTCTCTCTCTGCTTTTTCCTTTCTGGAATGATCTTTTTGCATTTCTTGCTGCTTTCTGTACTCTGATTTTCTTAATGTTGCCGGTTGAATAATGAAACAGTGTGAGTCCACTTTTACCTCAAATGTTCCTCTTCAATCAGCCCCTACACATCATGTGTAGCAATATTGTTGAACTAAGTAATGCTTGTGTTTGTGTAGCACAGGATGTATTTGTGTACGATATTTGATCCTCAAATGTTTCCTGTAGTAAGAGTTCTGATCTCTTGCTATTAAAGTTAGTTTGTATCCTTTGCATTAGAATTTGCGCATTCAGACTCACTGAAACAACTTTCAAAATGTAGGATCTTTATTTGCCCCAGTGTCAAGCAAATTTCTACATACACAACATTCACGAGTTATGGAATCCATTACATGACACAGAAAAATTATTATTTGATAGACAAATGGTTAGGTAAGAGACGTTTAACACCCTAGATGACCACACATGATAAAACATTACTGGTTTTAAAAAGGGAACCATTTCAGTCACTACAAACCTAAACACTGTAGTTTATCAGCTGCTATGGAGTAGAGCAAAGAATCCCATTCTCCCCACACACCATATTTTCCCAACTAACAGATGACAATTACAGAACTGAGCAGCTGCAATATACAGGGATGGACACGGGTATAAAATCCAAAGCACAATACATGACTAGTTAATTAAGTTAATTCAGATACTCAAAGGAAATCTCCTAAAAATACCACCAGCTCATCCAGTTGCATTCGTTTTTACTGTGTAGCATATGTTGACACTCTCGCATGTACTCTTCCCTTTAGTATTAAAGCCTGCAGAGATAACATTCAATTACAGACAAGTGAATGACAGATTTCTATAATGTTACTTAAAAGGTATTAACTGTTTGGTGTAGGCTAGTTTTAACTCGTGTCAGTACATCTACTGAGAAAGAGGGACTGATTGATCCTTTCACATGGTCAATCAACTAATATTGAGGGCATGTCTACATCTGGTAACATTGAGTTAGTCAATACCTCTACAGACCTGTTCTCAGCTTGAACAGCACTAAACAATGAGGTTCTGAAAAGCTTTTTTTAAAACTCTTATGACAAGCAATCAAGCAGCCACAATGGGAATACTTATCCATTTTTTTTTCATCCCTGTCCCTGGAAATGCATCTTTTCAAGGCACAAAAAAGCTGACAAAGAAAAAAAAATGACTCCAATGTGAAAACTCTGGTTGTTGAATGAGACACCATAAGCAAAAATCTATCCTGCATACTGTAGAAGCAAAAGTGGAAAAATCAAAGAAATGGGTTTTAGTGCATCTGCAATAATTATCTGCAGCTGCTGTTATGTTTTGTATAGCGAATGCACCTAAGTAGCTAGAGGGCTGCCTTGTACAATTTAAAGAAACAATAGCCACTCACCCCCTTGTTGTTAATAGTGCTAACAAATCAGAACATTCCAATTATTACCTATGGTTATTTCACTCAAAAATACCTGTTGTTTTTTTTTGTGCCTGCAAACCTGGTTCACATTTAGTTAGGTACTTTTCATAGTGTATAAAAGAGCAAAAATGGTGAGTTGCAGGTTAAGTGCAGTGGAAAAGGTTAGACCAGGGATTAGGTAACTAAATTGCCCTCTTTAGGCTTCACCAACCCAAATTACTGTGTTGCCTTTCTCCACCTCAGTGATCTCACAGTTTAACTTATTAAGCCTTCCATCCAGAATAAACAAGGATTCCTTGGATGGTGTCATCAGGTACTGGCCGAATAGACCACTGTCCACGATCACCCGGTTTTTACTGTTCCATGACCACTCTTCTGTCTTCATTGGTTCTTTCAGGCTCTTCACCATCTTCACTTTCCCTGTGGAGAGTTCCACAAAGAGCACGTCCGTTTGCACACCCGAGCTGGCGTAGACATTGTACTGGTTGGCCTCAGTGAAAGAAGGCTGGAACGTGGCATCGGAGATGTGAAGGTTAGTGTGAATCTCAAAGGATTCTTGGATTTCTCCTTGGATAGTGATGGACTGGACTCTCATGCGACCCTTCTGATCATCTATGCTGACCAAATAATGTCCATCTGGAGAGATGTAAGGCGTGCCCGTTATATCACCATTGTACCCGATCACAGAATCTGTGACACTGTCAACTATGATCTGTGGCTGAATAGCTCCTGTACTGTCTGGGTGGCAATGAACAAAGTCATATCCACCCAGGTGAGTGTAGGCAAGAGACTTTGGTACACAGTTATAGTCCTTCAGACTGATGGTCTTGATGTACATCATAGTTTCAAGGTCAATTTTGTGAAGGGCTGGCTCACCTTTGTGAAGAATAAATCCAAACCTGCAATTGAAAGTACATCATTGTTAGTGCAGTGAAATATTAATCCAGACGGTGAAAGTAATGCATTACATGTGCAATTATTCCAACAGTAAACAAACCATTCTGCAATATGTTCTACAGTAAACAATTATGAAGGCGAAAGCTCCAGAATCCTATAATGAATAGAAAGTATTGATCAGTATTGTGGTATTGAATTATATATAATAGTCCAATAAATGACAGCTGTGCTATACCCAACTGTGCAATGATACTGATTCTCCTGTCAATTGTGAAAGTGTGTAACATTTTAACATTAGAAAATGCATTGTGTAGCAATACAGAACGGTTACATAACAAAGTCCTAAGGATATGATAATCTAGTTATCACATAGCTTTGGTCTCAATCATCCAGTTGCATGTCCACATGAGGAACTTTACACTCAATGGTTGGTTGGTTGGTTGGTTGGTAGGGAAAATAACAAAGTAACATTCTGAATTACACCAATACATTTGAAGAGGTTAATAAAACATCAGACTCTGAAGGACACCTCTCTTTGTCCAAGTAGAGAGATATTTGTTCATTTCTTTCTCTGCCCTGAAAGATGAGATCAGCCGTCCTTCCCAAATATCCTGTTTTTACCATCCTGCGTGAATGTATTTCCACATTCACTCTGCCAACATTATGAGAGTCCGACAGCTCCACAAATGCCTTGAGCAAATCTCTCAGGGAGAAACAGGTCTAATTTAAAAAAAGGTATAAAACTTGATTATTTTGCAACCGTTGATACTCATAATTATCAAAACTAGTATTTTCTACCCTTTCTTCAAAAAAATGTCCAAACTTCTGGAAAATGGCTGCTGTGAATGGGGTATTCATTTCATCACATGTTATTGGAAAGTCATAAAGTAGTGAACAGTTGGCATTGCAATTTGTTCCTTATTTGTTTCTGTCAAGAAAAAAAACCCCTGTTATTTTCCATGTCTGAAAGCAACATTTTTTGGTCAGGAAAGGGGTATCATCGCCTTCAGGGACATTTACAATACGATACAATTTACATTTATATTGCGCCTTTCATGTCGGGAGAGCATCTCAATGCTCTTCATCCTCATTACTGCAGAAGGTGGTAGTTCCAGGTTTGTCCTGAGTCAAACTGTTTCTTTGCATCAAAAGGGCAACCTGGGTCAGGGGTTACCTCTGAGTCAGAAGGCTATGGGATCAAATCCCATGTCTGGACTTTGAGTTCATAGTCCAGGATGACAATTCTGTGCAGTAGTGGGGGAGTGTCGCAAATCAAATGATACATAAGCAAGTTCTGACAGCCTGTTCAGGTGGATATTTGAGATTCCAAGGCACTACTCGAAAAGTAGTACTGGGCATCCATGCCAACAATTCTCCAGTTACTTACAAACAAACACAGTCTCAATTCCCTGTGAAGATCTTTAAATGTTTGATGCTTACAGAAGCGATATCAAATACAAGGATTATTTATCACCTCACCTCCCAGTTTACAAGTTGACATTTAAATTGTGAAGGGCACTTGAAAGAAACTGATTGCAGGCCTGAAGCCTCCTGATATTTCAGCAACTGCTTCTTCTGCTTAGCTAATTGATTTAAGTTACATTAAAAAGTACATCAGAAGCAGCTGGTGTTGGCTCTCCCTTCAGACTGTGCTCCTGTTACAGACTTTTATCTTTCTTTTATCTACACTGAACGACAGTACATGGCAGAATTTTAGGGATAGAAAATGTATGGTGGGTCTTGCTTGACTGGAACCATCTGGTATAATCGCATTTTCCCAGTCACTTCTACATAATGTTTAATATTCTTTTACCTTCTCCAATCATTTAATTCCCTTTCGAAATAATTGATGGATTCTGCTTCTCTTCTTGGTCCCCTGGATGTCTGACATGTGTGAAAACCCCTCACCATGCTTAAAGAGTATCCAAACCAGACAGGTTGGGAAGAACAAAGACTTGGAGACCCCACAGTGAGATTTGGGGTACTGTTAGAGTTTGAAGGTTTAAAACAAGTTTGCTATTTGAGAGCGCTCGATTGCAAGGTTTCCTGCTGCTTGTGCAGTTAGGACCACCTGATCCATTAGGGCTTTGGCTTGCAGGGTTGACAGGAGCTGAGTGGGATGACTCCCTGCCACAAGTTAGATGATTTGAAAGTTTCCTTCTTATATTAAAAATACAACAGTGTGTGGCAGGTCAAGTACTTGGATTGATTTTGGTCTGCCATGCAATTGCGTGGCTCCAGGAAGCAGGCAGCTGCTGAATAACAAGTGGGCAGTTTCCTTGCAATTTTTTCTGTGTTGTCACTAAGCTCTGTTTTTTTCTGTGGCTGTCTAGTCAGTATATAAGGAAGTAGCCTGATTTTAGCCTGTTGAGTGGGGAAAGGTTCAATCTGACAATTCAATCCATCCAATTTTGCAAGCAGTCACTACCTCTGCTTGCAGGGTCAATGTTTATATGACGTTGAACCGTCAGAATTCTGTCTTGAATGGGTGATCAGAATCTGTCCAGAAATAAATTGAATCCTCATTCCTGTGGATGACATTTTATTCCCTTTGCTCACATCTTGAATCTGACTCTTCCAAAAAGCTGCCTTTCAGCAATCAGATTAATATTACCCTTCCCATCTTTTGAACAAAGGTACAGTTGGAGCTTTGAATTGGGGTCAAACGGGTTTTGGGGGATTTTATATTTATTTTCTTCTAACTTTAGCTTTCAACCTAAGATAAAATCAACTGTTTCATTGTATGTGACAATGCATCGCGCTCTCAGCACTGCACTGAAGTGTCAGCCTGGATTACAAACTCAAAGTTCCAACACGGGGCTTGAACCATAATCGTTTGACTCAAGAGGCAAAGAATGCTGTCAAGTGAGTTAGAAAAAATGTTTCCTGACTTCAGTTCTAACAATCTTTGATACTGCTTTAATATAAAACAATACTTGGTCGACTGCGAGATCCTTGTTTTGATTTTCAAATGTCTCCAAAGCATTACCTCATGTTTCCTCTGCAATCTCATCCAGGCCCATTTCCCCTCCCTCCATTCCACAAACTCTTGTTGCATTGATCCCTCCACCTCTGCCTTACTTTTGGCATCCGAGTTTTCATCCAGTATGCTCCCGCTCACTGGAATTGCTTCCCCGCCTTTTACTCTGCCTTGCTGCTTTAAAAGCTCTCCTAAAAACCCTGCCACATTAACCATGCTTTGATTAGCTTCCTCCTGTACCTCTAGTTCCCAACTTGCTTGGGTAAACAATCTGTCTCTGTAAAGCATTGACTATATAAAAGGAGTTACTTAAGTACGAGTAGTTGTTCTGCACAACTGTGTTATATTCCTGATTGTTCCCTATTGAGCACAGTAATTAGGTAAATTTGGTGTCCTTCACGGTAGTTAGCTGTGAAGAATAATAAAAATGGATAGGTTTTATGGAGCAGAACCATCAGGCATCTAGAGGGGATAGGGATGAATAACCAATGCTCAGCTTTCAGTTCCTTTTGTGCAATGGACTGTATTTTTTTGTACATTGGCAATATGATGACATGCTAAAGGTGAAGTAACAGAAGAAAAAAATTGTATATTGGCTTTGCTACCTCCAGCAGTTTCCAAAAACTACCATCAGGCCCAATGCTGAAGTCCGAATGTCAACAAGAATTATATCTCCAATTCACTGAGCCATTTGCACAGCATGAGGAAAGCTGCAAAGAAAACACACAGCAGTGTTTACCTTAGCTTTCTTGCTCAGTAAAAGCTCCAAAAGGTTACAGGACTCAATTTTGCTTGCATTGAAACTTTATAAAATGTCTTCCTTTCCAGGTACTAATTCAGTTTTCAGCTCCTGTATTTCATTGCAGTGTATTAAGTGGGGGTAGCAATGGGCAGAGGTAACTAAATTAATTGAGGGTATAAGCCTCCCAATGTTGAACACATGAGGATTTCGAGTACTGCACTGTAGTGCCATTCGGCAAGTGAGAGCTAACTGCATGCTCCAGCAACTCTGCGTCTCCTAAAGTGAGTCACAGAACCATTATTAAACACATATCTTGCTTCATCAGACCTGTTCATTATCAAAAGCATTTTGTTAACAACTTGAAAACCATATTACAAAAAAAAATTAACATCAAATTTAGAATGAAAATAATGTGATAACTGGGGAGAAGCACACAGATAAACGTAGACTGAGTATGAAAACAAATAGGATTTACTCTAAGGATACTCAGATTCGTATCTTTAATAGTGTGAGCGCCTGAACGTCTAAATCCAGCTCTAGAGTAATCAAAGGGCTCACAAACTGGGTTCCAGCATCGAACTCCATGCTCAATCCAACTCACAAGACCCAGGCATGCACCCAAGGTTGGAGCGAGTTTATACGAGTGAGAGTGGAGTTCCTCGCTGAAGACTTATGTTCTCAGTGGCTTTTGTGGCAGTGAGGCAACAGTAAATGCTCCACGTTTCTCAGGAGCTGCTGTACAAGCTAGTTTTGAACCCTCATTGCATTATACCTACAGACAGTATCAATAAAATCTCACTTCCATTTCAAAACTGTTCATTTTCTTCCGTTCACAACGTTGACAGCATTCGTAAGATTGTCACTAAGTTTGCGATGTGGCCCTTCTAGCATTGGAACCTCACTCAATTTGGAAATAATTTATATTCATAATAATCATAATTATGTTTATCTTGAAAACCAAGATAAATACCAGTCCTCCCTCCACCTTCTTAGGATTATGATTTTAAAAAGTATCTGCTTTATTTCTAGGTTATTAAATAAATAAGTTATACTTCTGAAAATTGAATTGCAATAGAAAATGCACTTTAAGAAAATTCACCTATACTAACCAAAACAAGATTCCCTTTATATGTGTTTTAACATCTTTTTATTATCCTATTGATTTCCATTGATATATAAACTACTCTTGACAATCCCAACAGCTGAATTGATCCAGATGCATCTGACATGCAATGATGACTGAAGGATCCTGAGTTAGCAATTCTGTATCAACTTTTCAA